TCTTCTGCTGATGCCAAGCACCTCATCCTGTTCTTTCACTACTCTTCTTTGCCTTCTGTTGATCACACAAACAGCTCGTAAGCTGGATAGGGCAGTCAGTGCAGCAGTCTGTACATCCCCACCCCAGTTCCCAGTCCTGTGGCACAGCCTGGTGGCAGGTTAGCAAGGGACAAAGCATTGCTGCTGAGACTCTGCACAGCATCCTAAGACTTGCAATGTATACCAGAAAAGGTGCTGTGACCTCAGGTGTTACACCATTTCAGACTATGGGATTCTGAAGCTGAGTAAACTGCTTCTCTAAAAACCAGATTTTCCTCTCACCTACCCAGCCCACCTCTCTGAGAGAGTTCTGATGAAACAGGTGAAAATGGTTGGGTTTTTTTGTTTGCTTGGGTTTTTTTTTTTGTTGTTGTTGTTTTTTTTACTTCCAATACAGTAATATGGTTGATTTTTCACCATCGCCTTGAATTTCTTGAGTTTAAATATGCTTTATGATAGTTATGAGTCTACAATAACTTGTGATTGATTAAAAAAAAGAAGTTCTTTTTTCTTTTTTTTGGCTGAAAACGGATATGAGCTTTTTTAAAAATTAGTCTCTGTAGACATATGTTGTGGGCTGACCTTCTCTAGCAGATTCACACTCAACCAATGTGAAATTTAAAAAGTTAATGCATCAAAATAGAGAGAGGGATCACTTACACCATGACCAAAAGAGACTTGACTTGGGGTACATTAATTTAGTTTACTGCCAAATAAAAACAGACTAGAGAAACAAAGACAGAAAACTAAAATACATCCCTCCCCTCCTTTTTCTAAGGATCAGCTTCACTCCCAGGTATTACCCAGAGGAGCACAAAGCAGATGGGAAAAGAGGGGCTGCAGTCAGTTCCTAACAGTCTATCCTTGCTGTTTGTTATTCCTCAGACTTCTGCCCTGCCTGATGGGAGCAGCTATAAGAACAATCTATTGGTAGCAGGAAAAATACTGACAGAAAATGTCTGCTGAGACACTGGCAGAAGATGTCTGCCAGCCCAGGAACTGCTAGCCTGGGAGCCTGCCCTGAAAACCAGCCTTGTGAACCTGAAGCGTCCTTGGAAGGCACAGCTGGCATCTCTGAAGTGCAGCTGGGCACCTGGGAACCTGAGACATCATGAGATACTCTCAGTAAGCACTAACCCAAGAAGCTATTTGTTATCTAGAGAAGTAAAACACAGTCAAAAGGTGGAGCAGCCTGGGAAAGGAGGAAATAGTGTGCGAGCTATTGACTCTCAGTAGAAGAACAGGAAAACTGTCTGGGGAAAGTGAAAATTGGTCTGAGAGAATAGAAAATATCATCTGTTGGCTGTCCTAGGTGAAAAACAGAAGTTAGAAACAGCTACTGGCTGTTCTAGGTGGTGATGTCAGGTGACCTCTAATACCTCTGTGACACAAAAATTACTTGCTTTCTACCCAGAATTGAGCCTTACTCAGAGACATCTCATCACACGAACTTTTTCTATCAGACTCTCTACAGACTCAACCTTCACTTCATTTGCTGACTTTAAACTCTGCAAGGAAGATAAGTTTTTTACTTTGTTCACCATCAGTTGGCTCCACTCCCAGAATGGTTTTATGTATATACTTACAGCGTGGGTAAACCCTTTGATTGTGATGTTGCCCTCAGGTGGATTGCTCCCCATGGGCTGCAACTCCAGTCTGGGGTTGCTCCGGTGGGGGCTCTCCATGAACTGCAGCCTCCTTCAGGCTGCTGCACCATGGGCTCCTCCACAGCTGCATGTGGAGATCTGTTCCTCATGATGCCCGTGGGCTGCAGGGGGACGGACTGTTTCTCCATGGGCCTCTCCTGGGCTGCAGGGAACTCCTGCTCCACACCTGGAGCACCTCCTGCACTGACATTGCGGTCTGCAAGACTGCTTCTGTCATGTTTTCCTCACACTGTCGTTCTTCACTCATTCTTCAGCTTGCTTTGACAGCAGTACTGCTGGCTGCCCTGACTGGCTCAGCTGTGCTGTGCCCTGCAGTGGAGCCACTGGAGCCATCTGGGACCAGCCTGGAGCAGCTACAGCCTCTCCTCACAGAGGCTGCCCCAGCAACACTCTGACTGTCTACATTAAAAATTATCATGATAGCTAGAAAATGTAGTGTTTTGGAAGACAAATGGGCAGAAGGCTAAGTATGCAGTTGCTGCAGTCAGCAGATGATCAGTGTGACAATACCATGGACAAACTCACAGCCTCCTCCAGAAAGGTGTTGCATCTCAGTTGTTTGCTCTCTGCAACTGCCTGAAGGGAGGTTGTAATGAGGTAGAGGTCAGCCTCTTCTCCTATGTAACTAGTGATAGGACTAGAGGGAATGGCCTCAAGTTGCACCAGGGGAGATTCAGGTTGGACATTAGGAAATACTTCTCCAGAAGAGTGGTCAGATGCTGGGAGAGGCTGCCCAGGGAGGTGGTGGGGTCATCAACCTGATGGTTTACAAGAAGTGGTTATACTCAGTGTTATACTGAGGGACATTTAGTGGGGACTACTGCTGATAGATAGACAGCTAGCCTGGATGGTCTTAGAGGTCTTTTCCAACCTTGGTGATTCTGTGATCATGTAATGAACTTGGTGTCAAAGATGTGTGCATTCTATTGTACTTTTTTCCAAAGAACCATGCATTTTCTCTTTTTCTTTCTTACATTATATGTCCAGTTTTATCCAGACACATTAATCAAAAACTCCATGGTATGAGGAGGAAATATGTTACGTGTTTTTTCTAAATTCAAAGGAAGTGAATCATCCACAAACAGTAACACTCAGAGTCTTGACCCGTGCCTCCTTAATTGTTTAAAAATAAAGTTAGTCACATTCTGTTATTGTTTTTGGCATTTGAGATGTTTCTTAGATGTGTCCTCATAACTTGCTCGCATCTCAATACCTTGTAGGCTAATCCTAATTTTTTTATTTATCCTTTTGTCAATGGTTTACAGCCCAGTTTGGCTCAGTTCCATGACTAATGGGGCAGGGGGGACCCAGTGACCCACGGACTGAGGAAGGGGGAAGAGGAAAAATGGAAAGGTGTAGAGAGATGGGTCTAAAAACAGAACAGGGGCAGCGATCTGAGGAGAAAAGTTAATTTACTAAATATGATATTGGAATAGAAGATAACACAATACAATACAATATAATTGGAATTGAAGCTAATAAATCACATAAAATGAGAGTGGGTGTTCAAAAACCTAAGGCCTTACTCTAATGCTAAAGGTGAGACAGCTAGGGAACACATGCTGCAGAGATGAGCAGAGAGGACATCTGGTGATCTGTGAGCAGTTTTATCTTCCCCTCTGAACGGAAAATGGAAACGAAAAATTCTCTGGGATATGTAGTTATTCTCTTCTGAAACAGGCATAGCCAAAACTATTGACAATCCACAGAATTGGAGCATTAATTCTTTAACTCCCTGTGCACTACATGATGTTACGATGTGGAATACTGATAACAAAAATCATAAAGCCATGACACCTTTATTTATTAGCTTGTCCTCTGCACAAGAATGGTGTCTTGGAAATCAAAATGTTGAAGTATTTAAATCTATGTAATAGGGAAAATAAAACATACCAGATACAGTAGTTACCAGATTCAATAGTTACACTCTAACTAGATTTTTAGGAGTATGAAATTATTTATGAGTATAAAGCAATCTTCATGTCCTCTCAAGAGGAACTGATGTAATACTGTTTTTAGTACTGTGGATCTTAAAAAAAGTAAAAATAAAAACAAACAAAAAAATCAAGTGATGAAAATTACAGAATTCAACACATTTATTTAAGCTTTTGGACATTTAATGCCCTCAGTCAGGTGCATGGACTTTCCAGTACATATGATAACAAACTATGTGTTTACCTGTGTACTGCATTGCCCTTTGTGTTATTTTTGAGGGTAAGCAATCAGTATGTTACTGTCTCAGTTGTTACTGCAAATATATAGAAAGGACAGGTTTTCCCTGTCAATAACAGGAGTTTATAGGAGTTAGGATAGGATTTTATGCCACAGGAAGCAATGATTTATCAAATTTCTAATATTTCGGTGTCTGCTCATTGCCTCTTCTCTAATTGTCCACTAATTATCACTGAGAAGAGTCTGTCTCTGTCTTTCTTACTCCCTCCCATAATCTATTTATATACAATAATAGGATTCACCCCTTACCTTTCTCTTCTCTGGCATAAATAGGCAGTTTTAGAATGGAGGACTTTGATACTGTAGAGAAGTGGGTGCAGTTTACTCTTGAATCTCACCAACTATTTAACAAAATCACTGAATGATTGGGGTTGGTAGAGACCCCTGGACCTGCTCTGGCAGGATTACCTACAGAAGGTTATCCAGATGGCTGGAGATGATGATGGAGACTCCAACACCTCAGGGCAAACTCTGGCAGTGTTCAGTCAGAGGGAGCTGCCAGGACAGCATTAGTCCTTGTGAGATACAGGGCAAAAGCATTTGGGGGTCTACAAATATTATAAGGGGTGTTGTTCAGATACTCATGCTGGGATGTCTTGGTGAAGACCCAAAGGTGAGAGAATGGGATGAGTCCAGATGCATAATGGAGAAAGCAGTGTGGGCAAGAAGACTGACAATCCTAGGAAACTCTGGCTTGGAAAGGACAGTGAGAGATGTCCAGGGCAGCCTCCTGTTCCAAGAAGCACCAACAAGGAGATCAGACCAGGAATCACAGACCGAGGACCCACAGGCATCACCGACTCCACACAGGACCACCAAAATTCAAACTCCATGTCTGACATCACTGCAGTTTGAGGTCATGGCATGACCTCCAGCAGTTTGAGGTCATGGCATGCACTGGGCAGCCTGCTGCAGTGCCTGACTACTCTCCCTCTTGAGTTTGGACCCTGTCCCCAGCCCCAGCCCCAGCTGCCATCAGGCCTCCCCTCAGCTCCTCTGCTCTGTGCTCAGCACACGCACAGGCCTCACTTGCTCCTCATACATCTTGCCCTTGAGACCTTTAACTATCTTTATAGCTCTCTTTTGGAGGCTTTCTAATATTTTATTTCCTTCTTATATTGTAGCTCTGTCATGGTTTTGGTCGGAATAAAGTTAATTTTCTTCACAGTAGCTGATACATTGCTGTGATTTCTTTTATTTTATTATGAAAATAATGCTGATAACAGACCAGTGTTTTCAGTTGATGCAGAACAGTGCTTACACTTAGTCAAGGACTATTCAGTTTCTTGCGCCACTCTATCAGCAAAAAGTAGGGTATACACAAGGAGTTGGGAGGGGACACAGCCAGGACAGCTGACCTAAACTGGCCAAAGGCATATTCTATGCCACGTAGCCTCCTGCTCACCATTAAGAGCTAGACAAAAAGAGAAAGGGGGACATTTGGAATGATGGCATTTTTCTTCCGAAGAAATTGTTGCACATAATGAGCCCTGCTTTCCTGGAACTGCCTGAACATCTTCCTGATGGGAAGAAGCAAATTAATTCCTTGTTTTGTTGTGCTTTCATGCACAGCTTTTGCTTTACCTAATAATCTGCTTTTATCTCAACCCATGATTTCTTGCAATTTTTCTCTTCTGCCCCCATCCTACCAGGGTAGAGTGAATGATCAGCATCTGACTGCCAGTGTTAAATCACAATGTGACCCAAAATTGCACAGTCCTCGAGGTAAGACTGCACAGCACACAGCAGATCATGACAATCCCTTCCCTCACCCACTGGCAATGATGGGCCTGGTGCACTCCAGGGTATGGCTGACCCTTTTGGCTGCCTGGGCACACTGCTGGCTCATGCTCTACTTGTGGACAGCCAGAACTGCCAGATTCCTCTCTGCAGGGCTGCTCTGCAGTCTCTTGTTTCCGAGTCTGTACGTACAACCAGGACTGCCCAGCTGCAGAATCCAGCACTTGCTCTAGTTGGACTTCATTAGGCTGGTGATTTCCTAGCCCTTCAATCCGTCAAGAATTCTGAAAGACTTCTCTATCCTTAAAGAGTCAACAGCTCCTTCCAGTTCAGTGCCACCTGCAAAGTTACTCAGTATGTCTTCAATTCGTGCATCCAGGTCATTTGTGAAAACATCAGAGAAATGTAGCAGTACCTAAAACGTAGCAGTGGGGAGCCCCCTCTAGTGACTAGTTGCCATCCTGATGTAACATCCTTTGAGCTTGATACGCCAGGCAGTTGTTCACCTGTTGCATTATGCATTTGTCTAGCTGTATGCTAGGAGGCTTTGGGCTTCCTCCAGCCTGCTTAGAGAAAGCTCTAGGGATCCAGGTACCAGCATGGCTACTCTTTACAGCATCTGCATTAGCAGGTCTTCAGGACACATTCCCTGGCTGATTATTACAAGGCTCAGACTGCCCTCTCCCAGCACTTAGAAGAGGGAGGCAGGAGCAGAAGAACAAAACATGCTCTGCTGCAGCAATTCTAGGAAAGAAAATCATAACACACTCCAAGAAGCACATTGCTGAGATAGAACTAGAAAACATTTCCTGCAGACGGTTGTTCTTTGGAATGCTTACGGCTGTTTATTCCAACTCAAGGAAGCGCAGGAGCCGAGCACGCAGCAGCAGCATGCTGAAGTTTCTGGGATGCTCATCCACGGGGCTTGGTGGGCGCTGCACAGCATTCGGCTGGGCTGGCTCTCTGAAGGCGCTGGGTGCAGAGATGCCAGAGGGCCCTGCAGGCTCTGTACTCCCTGCTATGGACTGATCATTGCTGTGACGCAGGCGCAGGTTGTAGCGCTGCTGCGGGGATCTGTTCCACATCCTCTCCCTGGCTGCATGCCTCTGGTGATGGGTGAACGTGCTGAGCATGTACTGCTGGTAGTCACCATCTGCTTGCATCGCGCACAAGATGCGGTCAAAAGGCTGCCTGCAGATGGGGCACACAGCATTGATGGCAGCCCACTGCCAGATACAGCTAAAGCAGAAACAGTGAAAGCAGGTGGGCACATGGGCAGCTTGGCAGATGGCGTCCAGGCAGATGGGACACCGGTTGTCTGCTGCCTGAGACGGCCCTGCCTGCTGTAGCTTGCTTGCATTGCCCATTTCCGCAGAGCCACTCTGCTTCTGATCCTCCTGGGTGTTTGACGCCATGCCCTGCCAAAAGAAACATTCTAAGTACCTTTTCTTGTGTTGGTAAGAGAAAAGCAAAGGAAAGCTTATAAAGCAGTGGGAGAGAGGAGGGATGGGCACCCCAGAGGGTGCCCTTGCAACTGTAAACCTGTGAGCCATCCAGCTTATCTAGGCTGTGGACACAAAGTCAAGATTGCAAAGGCATAAATGACTGAAAAAGAAATCAATAAAATTGAAATTAATTAAATCATTAGATATTACCAGAAGAAGTCCTGGTGCAATCAACTTTGTTGAAAGAGCCACTAGCTAGTTCAGATTAATAGAAGATACTACTTAGACCAATTAGCAGTCTATCTACCGCTAATTCAGTCTCCAAAATGGCAAAAAGAGAAGCTACAAAAGAAGCCTGCCAACCTACAGTGGTTCTTTCACCCTGCAGTTCCCTATCATCCACATTATTTTTGTTAAGGGAGTGTCAAATCTTCCTGAAGGATAGAGAAGCTGAAACAAATAAAGTATTTTTAATTTTCCTTTTAATTTCCAGTAGTCACATTCTAATATTTCATAAAATCAATGAGTAACATATTAATGATTATTTGCAGGGTATGACTTTGCAGGAAGTTTGTACTGACATACAGCAGCGGTGCTTAATGGAGTCCTGAACGAGGATTAATGTGTTTTAAGATCTCAGAGTTTTCATTTGAAATTCTTCTCTGACTTCCGAAGATCTAATTTTTTATTCTTTTTTCCTTGTAACAGGTTTTAGCAATGGCTGTAATTGTTCTTCAAATGTTAAATAACAACTAATATTTCACTCCCCAAAACTGTATTAGTTTATCAATATATTTAAAGCCTGATTTATGACTTTTTGGGGGGCAGTCCTCAATGGCAGTTGTAGGTTCAAGGGTTTTACTTTAGCTGGACATCATGGTCACCTTTTGCAGTATTCATACATCCTAGAAATGTATTTACTATTAACCAAATAGTGCTGCCAAAAGCGCTACCAGCAGGTTAAGAAATAAAAATTAATGAACTGCATTTTATCTTTTTTTTTTTTTTTTTTTAAATACTATTTCGATGACAATCTTCCAAGCTTTAATAAATGTAATGGAAATTTCAGTTGCAAAAGTGCCCCCTCCTGAAACAGGTTGCTCAAGATACCATATGAATTGCGATCATGAACAGAGGATGTCATCTGAGTAATGCACACTTTTCAAGATAACATACTAAAGAAGTTAAAGTACTTGCTGCCAGGTCTCCTGACTTGAGGTTCCTCATGTTCAACATCTTTGCACTTCTTGCATATTAACTGAGGAAATGACTAATTAAAAGAAGACAAAACTTCATTAAAAATTGCCCTTTTGACAGGCAGATAATGGAACTTGGAATTGGGCAGGGGAAATCTCAGTTCCACAGCCTAAACAAAAAATTGTAGAGATTTTATACAGCTCTATATAAAACTGATCTGTCAGGAAAGAAAATAGAGTAGAAAGAGCAATACCTATGTTCTTGTGAAGTACAAGATGGAGTACTGGAGGAAACAATGCACATTTGTAAAGATGAATGCTGTACTTTTATGCTTTGCTGAAGAAGCATACTATGGTCATAGTGAAAGTACCACTTACATTCTACCTCCTGTAAACTGCCTCTGTTTTCTATGATTTTTATCTACGATGATGCTCCATAAGGTGATAGCCATACTGTACTATTCTAAGAAAAAAAAAACACTCAATTTCTGAGCTGGTAAAATAGCCATAGTATGTTTTCTGGATACAAATCATACAGTCACCTTAATATCAACACGCAAGTTATTTCCACGGAGTCAGCACAGGTCACACCTGATTTCTAATGTCTGCTGAGTAGCCAATGCAATTAATATGTGTTATAAGTAGCATTTGATATCATTAGAATTCACATAATAAAAAAGAGCACATATAATAGAGTTGTACAAAGAGAAAGTTATTAAAACCAATAGCATACTACCTACTTAAAGGTGTACAGTTAAAGTTTCCATGGCAACCTTAACACTGCACTTCCTGCCTTTTGTATTTTAAAAGCTCATCTTCAATGTTGCTTTAATATAGTATTTTGCACTGAATATTTTTACCAATAGAAGGATTATTTTGAAACCTGACATTTCTAGGACTCCTAATACTAACCCAGTTTGCACAGCAACATAAATTATTCAGAAGAAACTGTACTAATACATATCTCACAACAATTACTGAGCTTCAGGCTGGTGTAATGAGTATGTGGTAGCCTATCTAGAGGTAAGGTGCTAGCAGTTTCTCTTTGGAGCCCCACTTTGTTTCCTCCTCAACCCTGGCTGAAAAACTATCCATCCTAAATAGTTAGATTAAAACTGATGGCAGCAAGGAATATGTCTGCAAATGTAAAATGGGAAACATTTGATTATTTGAATTATAGCTCATTAAAAAACTTATACCATAATGGTTTTGAGTAAAAGAAATACTTCAGATTACTGTTGCAGTACACTGCTCATTTTGAACCTCTAACTTTTGATGGGTCTTCTGTTAACTGATTCTGGCAAGAGTGTGCATAGGCATTCCATACACACCGATATCTGCTTGTTTCTTCACTGCTTACACTTCTATAGCGTAATAGTAATATAAATGTTAGTAATCTGCATGAGAAGCTTGGGTTTGCAAAGTCAGAGGTCCAACTTTTTACATGCTGCTCTACTTAAATGCTAAGTAAAAAACACATTTTCAGTTACCTCTGTATTAAGGCTTCAGAGGAAAGCCTTGAAGAAAACACATACAATACGTACTATAAAGTTTATGATACTTTTTATACTGAACAATAGGAATATTCAGATTTCTTGAGTAAAAAATCTGAAACTATAGAACATTTTACTTCAAAGTTTTTACAGTACATAAAAATGTACTGTATTCTGCCAAGTGTACTTAAAACTTGGCAAACTTCACAACAGCTTTTGTGTACAGAGGCCTATAATAACCAGAATAGCAGTGTTTAGTGGTTTAACCTGGCATGCAACTGAGCAACACACAGCTGTTCACTCCCTCCCTCCACAGTGGAATCCAGGAGAGAATTGAAGAAGGTGAATGTACAAGAACTTGTAGGTTATGATAAGAATAGTTTAAGAAGAGAGGGAAAAAAAAGAGAAAAGATTAAAATACAAAGCAAGTAATGCGCTGTATGATTGCTTACCACCAGACGACTGATGCCCAGATCGTCCCAACGCTGCAGATCTCCTCCTGAACTATTCTCTCTGGTTTTATATGCCAAATGGTTCGGAATATCCCTTTGGCCAGGTTAGGTCAGCTGTCCTGGTTCTGTTCCCTCCCAGCTCCTTGTGTCCCCCCAGCCTCTCACTGGCAGGTCTGTACCAGCAGCTGAAATGTCCTTGGCTCTGTGCAGCCCTGCTCTGCAACAATTGAAACACCGGTGTGTTATCAACATTGTTCTCAGTCTAAATCCAAAACACAACAGCTACAGACACATCAGCACACATTTTTATCACTAAAGGCACTAGAGAATGTTTTTCCATGAAATACCATCATCACATATATCTGAGTGTCCAAAATTAGTGTTTAAACATGGAAAAAAATTGAACTAAGCAAAATGAATGTTCAGCTGCATTGTCCACAAAGAATAAGCTATCAAAACCAGACATAAAAATGGAGACAGTAAAAAAATGTAACACAACAGAATGCAAGGTGACCACAACGGTCTTTTCCAACCTTAATGATTCTATGATCCTGTAAAAAAAAGAACAGTTCTCACAACGTACTCAATATCTTGCAGTGCAAGGAACTGAAGACAGCAGGTAGCAAGTAGTATTTTCTTTGCTAGCCCACAGTAGGCCACTCCCAACTTGTTCAAATCTCAGTGTCCTAGCTGAGGCATTCAGTATGGTCAGGTCTAACACAGGCATCATACCTAATGTCTCTACAAAAAGCTTAATTCTTTAAGAAAGAAAAAAAAATTGTATTTATTTGTCCCTCCATTTGGCTATGCTAATATCTGCATGAAGTTAACCTAATGGTTAAGTGCTGTTTTCAGAGACATTAACTTTAAATGGTCATTTCTCACCCACTGATAAAAAGACCAAGCCACAGAGAAATGTCTACTTCATAATATTTAGTGTCCTTAGTAAAAATCTGACCCCGAGAAACTGGCTTATTAGGCAAAGCCCTCCAAAGCTTTACTGATTAGTTTAGGAGTTGGGAAACATCAGTATCTCCCCAGGACTACAATGGATTGAAAATAAAGCAAATAATGTGAAAGCACAGTTTTGGAGAGCTAAGAATCAAATAATATCATCCACTGTTTTCAATCAAAATTCAGAACTTATTTTTTAAAATTTGTCTTTATTTGCACAGCAGAGAAAGCAGCAACATTAAGGAAAATACAAAACTTAGAACCTCCCGTTTAAAAGAAGTTGTTTTTAAAGGAATCCAATTACGAAATTTACAATACCAAATACTGAAGTCATGCAATTGTTAACAAATACATACTAAACTAACTTGTGCACAGCATTAACAACTTAGCATAACGGCCTTGATTTTATTATGTTGGTCCACAACGTCAGAGGCAGATGGTGATGGTACAGCAGTAGAAGATGAACCTTCTTACCAATATCCTGTTATATTGTCTAGTTGTGTGACAGATGGCAGCAGAGGGGCATTCCAACAATTTGGTGTCTGACATGGAAGGGCATGCAGAGCAAAGGTGTGTCACAGAATTCCTCCATCTGAAAAATGACACCCAATGATATTCACTGACACTTGCTGAGCATTTATGGAGACCAAACAGTGGATGAGAGCACAGTGAGGCAGTGGATGGTATGTTTCAGCAGTGCTGACAGTGTGTCACCTCCACAAGCACAGATTTTTATAAGTGCAGCATGATGGCTCTTGTTCATTGCTGGCAAAATTGCTTTCCTCATGGTGGTGACTCTGCTGAAAAGCAACGTTTTGTAGCTAAGATTTTCCTCCATTAAATAGCATTATTGTGCTCTTTGTATCTGTTGGAGTTTCCGTGGAAACAAATAGGAAGCATTACTTTTGGAGCAACATGTGTGTGTTTCTTGCAGAGTCACTATATATTTCAATGTCAGTGTCTATGGAATACGCACTGCTTTTCAAATATAGTTCACTGCAGATTGTGTGATATGCGTACGAGCATATAAAACCTTATTGTAATAAAGAAATGCGTCACCTTATTTCTCAAATAAAGTACATACAGGCATAACACTAATATTACTAAACCTGGTTCAACATTGAACATCAGAACGAGGCTGTCACACAATGAGGAAGATATAATGCATTTGTCTAATTAAAAACAAAGAACAATTAAAAAAAAAAACACATTCTTTTTGCCTTCAGTATTTATTTGCAAAACTTTTGGATCATGTTTTTAGTGCAGTAGATACTTACATGGACGCCTGCCATCCTATAGCAATAGATTTGTGCACACCTGACTTAAGTTCTTTGCAGCATTATTAATATCTTGTATTGTTTTCCTGAGAAAAGCTGCTTTTTGCCTCATACATAAAATTTATTTTAGACCTAAGTCTCTGGTTTGGCATCAGTCCCAGAATATCCTGGTTGCTAAACAAATGGCAAAGTATATCATATGGATATCATGATGAAAAAACTGCAGTCTTCACTGTGGATTCTGCATCATATTAATCTCCTTTCAGCTCCGTTCATTTCATCGTAGTTACATTTCTTATTTTAATTTACTTACCATGTTAGGTCTCAGCACAAAATACGAAAATGGCATATTTATAATGAAATGCCAGTTTCATTATTTTAGACCTGACCCTAACATGAGCAACATAAAAAGTGATACATTCCGGCTGCTTCTGATACTGAAAAATGCTTTAAGAAAGTTGATTTGTTTCCCAGTGAGGAGAGCATATGGCTGCTTGCTGTTGTAAAGCATATTCTAAACATACAGCTGGCTGAGTTCCCATACATCTTGCCCAGTGTAAACAGAGTGAGAAAAGAGGCTGCAGACTTCTTAGGAATTTTAAGGTTTCCATAGAAGAATAACTTTTTCCTCTGTTTGGTTTTGTTTATTTTTTGCCTTTATTTTTTCCTACTCCAGCTACTGAATTTTGAACTCCTTTGATCAAACTTTTCAGCATATTTACCTTCAAATAGTACCTAAACTTGGAGTATTTCAACTCTAAAGAAGTTTCAGAAAACCACAAAACAAAAACAAACAAGAACTTTAATGTTGTTTAATTGTTTCCTTTCCATAGCAGAGATTTTAACTACTGTACTGGAGCAGTAACAAAAATTGCTGCATCCAGAATTAGCTTCTGAAAGTAATTTTGTTCCCTACCCAACATAAATAAATGTTATTTACAGTTTTTAGAGGCAAAATTCAGCCATCTGCTTCTATTAAGGATTACAAACTTATTTCATTGTTCAGTTTCTTTGCTGTTGTTCCAATAAATTTGCATAACAAACTGTTCTAATAATTGTACCATATTTACTCTAAAACAATATTATCTTTGGAGGCAAGAAGTACACGATGAATCCTAATCCTATCCTATTCTGGAGTTCAGCTGAAATCTCTAGTGCTAGTTTTCAAACTCCCTGTTGCTCAGCTCTGATTATCTCTTGACAAGCAACCTGATTCTTCACAAGAATGACTAAAACCAGAAGTAAGGCTTTGAAGCTCTTTTCTTATACAAGGGGATCTATGCTATCTGTTAACTCTCAGGGATCACAATCAGGAGCAGGATGGAAGAATGCACACAATGAAAAAAAAGCAGCATAGCTCTCTTGTCAAAGCACAGAGATCTGCCTCATAGGGCTGCTGCTGATTTGTAAAACATTAGGTTATTTCAAGTCCTTAATAGAAAAGTGTAGCTATTTTGAAAAACAGGTGAACAGTCTGAAAAAAAAAAAAAAGAAAGAAAAGAAAAGTATCTGTTACACTATTTATCCTCAGTTCTACCCCTCCTCAGGGTGCAAGTATTTCAGCTCATTCTTGCTTTTGCATTCATAGTCTTCGTACATCTACCACCACTGGGAGCGAAATCCCGATTTCTTTACCCAAATATTATATTATTGACTAACTTTGGAACTTAATTCTGAATTTGATAGCAATTAAGCTATCAATTAAAAATACCTGCGCTGACTGCCTGCTCTCTAGGTCCCACTTGGCACTGCTCCTCAGTGGGACAGAACTGCCACCTACTCCTCCCCAGCCTGCCACAGAAATGTCACAGCCACACGCTGCACAAGACACAGCTTACGGCATGGCTGTCCAACCTTTTGGCTTACTTGGGCCACACTAAATGAACGGAAATTGCCTTGAGCTACGTATAAAATATATAACAAATGTATTATATAACAAAACTTATTTTTACTTTGTTTTTTTTTTTTTTTTAATTATTAAAATATATATTAAAAAATCAACAAAATCATAAAACTAGTGCTATGTTTGGTCTTGTTTTTGTGTGAATGCACCAAGTGGTTCAGTGGCAGTGGATTAGATTTTTAGTTAAGTTCTAAAGGCGTCTGTCAGAGATTTCTGATGAAATATTACTCTTCCTGTGCATCATCCTTGACAATAATTTTTCTCAAATGCACATACTGCCAAAAAGCGATGACATGAATAAGGTGTGACTGTGAAGAGAGAGAGATTTTTCTCTAGTAAGAGAGAGCTTATGAAAGTCTTGTAAGGAGACAGGACCAGATTTTGAGCTAAATGTCTGACTGCAACTCTATACATATCATAAGGAAATTTGCAAGCAATGTATTTATGTCAACTGAAAATGGAGTCCCAAATATATAAAAAAATAACTTTTTTGGAAATCTTGAAACCTGCTCTCATATTTATCAAAACGTAATGCACAGCTGCATATTTTTCACTGTTCACAGAAGTGTGTTCAGCCAATGCATCAAAATGCATGAAATTATTTGCTATAAATTAAGCTTGCCATAATTTAAGTTTTGTTTCAAATGCTGTTGTTGTCTGAAACTAGACACAGCCAAGGTTATTTTCACTTTGAAGACACGTTTAACTCATCTAAACGAGCAGTCCCAAGCATAAAAATGCTAAAAGAAGTGAGCTTCTTTTAATCTTCAGATTCTGGCAGAAATTTTCCTTTTGATTCCGTAAAAGGGCTTGTTTTCACTCTGCAAATCATAAAGCCCAAATTTTTAGCTTTTTACACTGACTTAACCACCTTCCTTCAGAAAAGTAAATGATGACCCCATAATCAGCAGCTATACTTTTAAGGATCTCCTGGAATTGGTGATGATTCAGTGCCTTGGACTTTATGAAATTCAGAGTTTGATGACTACTTCCATGACATTATGCATTCTTAAAGCTTTTAGACATAAATTTTCCTCGTGTCTGACATGGTGATATTTCATCAAACCTAAGTTGTTAGTGGTAACTGCATCTTCTTCTATTAAGCTCCT